ACTACACCATCTGTCTACAAGAGCTTACACCTAAAAACGAAATTAAAATGAGAAAATAAAGAAAGAGAAAAGATAGAGAAAGCAATAGCAGCCTTATCCCTTCATATGTTACCATCTCACCATCTATAAATACACCATGACAAACATCATAATACTAAGCTAAATCATCCCAGGCTTCCTTTTCTTCAAAAATGCCTTTACAAGCATGCAGAGCAGAAACCATTGTACATTCTATCCAGAATCATCAAAGCTACATCAAAATGCTGAAAAAACTAGAAACTTCCAAGCCGTAGGACAATGAAATTTAAATATTGCCCACTAGTGCCACTGTTCTTAAAGCAGCAAAACCTATTATAAGCAATTTTCTTTGGCTTAATAAGATTAAACAGAAAGTTGTACTTACAGCTAGTGTCCAAACAACCAAAGAGAATTGTACGTTCTATCCAGAATCAAAGCTACTTTAAAATGCTGAAAAAACTAGAAACTTCCAAACCATAGGACAATGAAATTTAAATAGTGCCCACTAGGGCCACTGTTCTTAAAGCAGCAAAACCTATTATCAGTAATTTGCTTTGGCTTAACAAGATAACAAAAAGTTGTACTTACAGCTAGTGTCCAAACAACCAAAGAGACTTTGATGGCTCTTTCCCCTTTCAATACTCCCAAAGTAATAAAACAATACCACAACCAGAGAACCACTCAGAATAGCATGAAAAACACACCTGATGCTCTTACCAGTCAACCACCAAAACATCTTACCATTACTCAATCCACACACCTTTATAGACTACAACAGATAGATAAAAGAAACAACTTAAAGTACAAGGTTTCCATTAAGTATTTTTGTCAGACCTTTATAAAGGAAAAGGCATAAGGTGAAGCAAGTCACCCTTGTAAGATGTCGCGTAGTCCACAAAGCACTAAGGCGTACGGGTTGTAGGAGTCAATTTTAATTTAGAAAATAAAAAATATATTCAAGATAATTTGATTGATAACAAAGCAATATTCCAAAAACAGATCCAAGTTACCATCACCACTATGTTTAAATTGAGGGGAGGGGAGGGAAAGGAAAGGCAAGGGGGAGAAAGAGGGAACCCTTTCCCTTTTTTGGATAACCAATGAAACAAAAGGAGAGAAATGAAAGGGTACTCAACATCCCTCTGTTTCCCCTCGAAAGCCCCTCCTTCCAATTGCCCCAAATTGGAGGAAAAGGAGTGGACAAGAAAGACAATTTTTATATGTTAATATGTCCATAATACCCTCATTGATTTCAACAAATTCTATAAGAACCTCATATAAGAGCTTTCTTAACTCTCCAATTTGCATCCTTTGCTTGCTGCTTTTTGTTATCTTCACCTCACTACTGCAGCGACACAAAATGGCTCTCTCATTTGCATTTTTATACTTGTTAAAGACTGATATATATTGTTATGTGTTAGGATATAGGTTTAGGACTGTTTTAATCTTTGTCATATTCTCTATTCTATTATAAATAGAATAGCCACATTGCTGAAATAGACCTTTATCAAATATATGAAAGTAGTTCACATGGGATCAAAGCCTACCTATCCAAAACCCTAAAAAACCCAAAACTATGTGGAGTGGGTTCTACTAAGACTGGTAGATCTTGTTAGTTGAATATGAGGTTGGTTAGTTTTTGATGTGTTGATCTCTCTTTTTTTTAATAGTGGTGGAAAAGGGTCAGTGAGATGGTGTCAAAAGGTAATAAAGGCCTAGAGGTTGTGTTCTCACATCACAAATTGTTGATGTTATGCTAGCTGAAGATGGTTCTAATTTTATAGAATGGAAGTTTCTAATTAAGGTTAATGTAAGAGGACTTGGGAAGGAAGCATGTCTTACTGAATCTATCCAGATAAAGAAGATGCTGCCAAGGTATGGATGACAGATGATGGAAGATTGTTTTCTCATATTGTTAATTTTATTGATAGAAAGATGGTTCTTTCAATGAAATATACCACAACAGTTAAAAAGTTATGGGAGTTATTGCATAAGTGTTTTTCAAGTACAAAGAATAAGAAGAAATTGTTTTCTCAGATTGTTAATTGTATTGATAGAAAGATTAAAAAGTTATGGGAGTTATTGCATGAGTGTTTTTCAAGTACAAAGAATATGGTTTATCACAGGAGGTTAGTCGTCCAAGTTAGAATGGACGTACAATTATCAATTATTACTATGATTATAAGTGTACAACTGCAAATTTTTACACTGCCATGCCACTTTTTACTGCTGTGGCTAAGATGAAAGAAAAGCATGAGAGACTGTCTTTTGTTGGCTATTTGGTTTAGATTCAGAGTATGACATGATTCATTCTCAAGTCTTGGCCAACAAGGTTGTTTCTTCATTGTCTGATGTTGTCACCACAATACGAAGTGCTACCAAGGAAAGTGGTTTTACTACTAGTGATGTGTCTAATCGATCTGCCTTAGTTTTACAAGGTACTAATGGGTTTGGCAATGGATATAGAAGAGGATCAAGTGTGGGAAGAGGCAATTTTGGAGGAAGTCACGGTGGAAAAGGAACAAGCAGTTGTGGAGCTCCAAGAGTGTGCTATCACTGCGGAGAAAAGGTCTCCTCAGGAATTAGTACTCTAAACCCCTACAGGGACAACAAAATTATCATTATCAATCTTCTTCACAAGGGCAACAACAACAACTACGACAGTATTAGGTCCCCTCTAAATTTGCTCATGCAACATCACAAGTTGGCGATTCCACTACACCCCAAATTGAAGGACATACAATAATTATGCCTAATGAAGAGTGTTCTAGTTATACCCAATTCCAGAAGTCACAACAGCCTTCATCCTCTTTTATCACTACCTTAGTTAAGTCAAGTAATCCCACAACATGTCTTTCTTCTTCATCTTGTCATTGGGTTATTGACTCAGGTGCCATTGACCATATGACAAGAAATTCAGGTATTTTATCCACTTATAGACATTCCAATCATTGTACTAATGCCATTCTTGCTAATGGATCAACTACAAAAGTCTTAGGTACTTGTAGTAAACTTGTTACTCCGTCATTGCCTTTCATCTTCAATTTTGCATCTTCCCAAGTTTCCATTTAACTTGATGTCTATTAGCCAAATAACTAAAGTCTTAAATCATTGCGTTGCCTTCTTTCCTAATTACTGTCTATTTCAAGATCTCTTGACTTGGAAGATTATTGGTAGTGGGAGTAAATCAAATGGTTTATATCTACTGGATGAAGTTATTGCTGCTTTTCCTTCTACTAGTGCATCAATTGCATGTTCTCGTGATCTTTCCTTTTTCTAACTTTACTGTCAACTTGGTCATCCGTCTCTATTAGAGTTGAAGAAAATATGTCCTAAGTTAGTATCTGTGTCTAGTTTACCATGTGAGTCTTATGAGTTTGCAAAGCACCATTGTGTGCCACGTGTTTAGAGTTAATAAGAAAACTATGTCTCTCTTTGAGTTAGTTCATTATGATCTCTAGGGTCCATGTCCCGTGACTTCAAAAATTGATTTTAAGTATTTTGTAACATTTGTTGATCATTTTTTAAGTACTTGGTTATATTTAATGAAATCTAAATCTGACTTGTTTTCCATCTTTGTTGAATTTTGTGCAAAAACTTGTATTCAATTTCACTCAAATATTCATATCCTCCGTAGTGATAATGCTAAAGAGTATTTCTCTGATCATTTTCGTTTTTACATGATACAAACTGGTATTATTCATCAATCTTGTATTTTTACTCTTTAACAAAATGTGGCAGAAAGAAAAAATAGTTATCTTATGAAAGTTGATAAAGCCTTAATGTTTCAAATGAGGGTTCCTAAAGTTTTTTTAGGCTAAGGTTGTTCATACTGCTGCTTGTCTTATTAATTGTATGCCTTCCTTTGTTCTTCAAGGCCAAACACCATATTATATCTAGTCTTCAAACCAGTCCTAATTTCCAATACCTCCCAACATATTGGGTTGTACTTGTTTTGTTTAGGATATGCGACCCAATGTTAGTAATGTATATTCTTAGGTTACTCTCGTACTCAAAAAGGTTATCGTTGTTACTCACTAGAGTTGGGCAAGTATCTTGTTTCTGGTGATGTCACATTCTTTGAGAATAGTCCTTTCTTTGCTAGTCCTCCTTCCTTTGTTTCTAAGACTGAGCTAGTAGATTTCTTGATTTAGACAGTGAGTACTCCTAGTCTTGATACTCCATCTAGTTCATCTTGACCTCTTATTACACAGCTGTACACCCGTCATCATGGCACTGATACAACAATTCCTCAGCCCGTAGATGCGTTGTCAGATTCACTTCTTGTACCAACTTCTAGGTCATTAAATTCTGACCTTGATCTCCCTATTGCCCTTCAAAAAGGTAAACGTCAGTGCACTCATTCCATCTCTTCGTTTGTGTCTTATGACCATCTTTCGCATTCGTTTGTTGCTTCTCTTGATTCAGCTTCACAATACGGTATTCATGATCTTAAAAATTTTCTTCAAGAAAAATTTCAAACGAAAGACTTGGGTTCTTAAAATACTTTCTAGGGATTGAAGTGACTCACACCAAAAAGGGTATATTTCTCTCCTAAAGGAAGTATGTCCTAGAGTTGCTCAAAGATGTTGGATTGCTTGGAGCAAAGCCTTCGGAGACTCCTATGGACTCAAGTGTGAAGCTTATAGCAAGAGAGAGGGACGCATTTGCAGATCTTGAAAAATATAGAAGCTTGGTTGGTAAATTGAATTATATGACAATGACTCGTCTTGGTATTTCTTTTCCAATGTGTAAGAAGTCAATTCATGTCAGCACCTACTATTATTCATTAGGATGCTTTGGTTCGTATTCTAAAGTATTTAAAAGGGACACTAGGCAAAGGGGTTGTATATGGAGATCATGGACATACTGTAGTTGACGGCTTTCCTAATGTTGATTGGGCAAAATCACTAGATGATACAAAATATACTATATGATATTTGTGTGTTTTTGGCAAGAAATTTGGTATCATGGAAGAGTAAGAAGCAGAATGTGGTAACAAGGTCTAGTGCAGAGTCCAAGTACAGCACTATAGCACAAACTACTTGTGAGCTTATGCGGATTTGTCATTTGTTCATCTCCTATGAGATTGTGATGTGATAACCAAGCAACTATGCATATTTCTTCTAATCCAGTGTTTCATGAAAGGTCAAAACATATTGAGGTTGATTTTCATTTTGTACGAGTGAAAATTCAACAGAAATTGATATCTACATCCTATGTAAGCATGGGAGAGCAATTAGCAAATTTGTTTACTAAGAATCTTTCTCGAGTTAGAATTGATTATATTTGGAAAAAACTGGGCATGATCAATATCTAGGCTCTAGCTTGAGGGGGAGTGTTAAAGGATGATATATATTGTTAGGTGTAAGGGCTGTTGTAGGTTTAAGGCTATTTTAGTCTTGTTTATATTCTCTATTCTATTATAAATAGAATAGCCACATTGTGGAAATAGACCTCTATCAAATATATGAAAGTAGTTTACAGCATTTTTTTTTATCTTAAGTCATAAGCAGAATTATTTGAGGGCTTTTTATTATTGCCTTACATGGAAACAATCTTGAATCTCTAGTCCAATTGTTTTTTTTTTTTTTGAAAAGTGAATTTTATTGATAGACCAAGAGCTAGTATGCCATAAGAAGTCTTGAATCTTGATAATGGAAGACTCTTAATAGCATTAAAAGACTAGCTTTGGTGGAAAAGAGCACTACAATCACAGCAAAAGTCTTCTCAAAAAGCAATCAGCAGCTAAATCAAAAGAGTTCGTCTCTAAAAGACTCGTCAAAGCTAAAAGACGACTAGCAGCATCCAACCAAACACAAGCAAAGCCCAACAAAAAGAGACCAAATATGAGTAGAATTCCAGATCATCCCAAAGCACTATTTTTTGCATGCTCAGAAAACCCTTATCCAATGTCGACACCAACACCTTCAACCCACATACTACCTTGCTCATAACCTGAAACTAGCTCAGGGATCATCTAACAAAAGCTCAAGTTCCCAACGTCTGTCCTCTGCTTCAAGTTCAGCTAATCTTGGCAGTACCTCTTTTTTCTCTCCTCTAAATTTCAACCCCAATCTTTTGCTCAGTTCCCATATATCCTCAGCCTCTTTTCTAATCACTAAATTTCGTTTCCTTATGTCTAAATCTGAGACTATTCCTCCCTCTGTTCTTTATGTATTTCATCTCTCATTTCACTTGGATCATTCCCATTCCTTCTTCGAGTTTGTCTCTCCACCGTCCCTTGGGTCACACCTCTCCTCCTATTGATCCCATTTTTCTTTTTGCTACTCTGGCTTCTCCTAAACTCAGGTGAATATTTCTTCAATTTTCCTTTCCCCTTTCTGCTTTTACGCAAAACATGTCACCCATTCCATGTCATCTTCCTGCTCTTTATCTTGGCATACCTTTCCTCTAACTTTAATTTCCCCATCTGTCTCCCTTCCCAGATCTGCATTTCCCCACTTGGTCTTTTCTCCATCTTGGCTCCAATAGCTTTCAGGACTAGGTCTTTCCTTTTCTTTTATAACTATTTTCCAATCATGACTTCTTAGGCCATATTTTCTATTTCATGGCTTACTTTACTTTTATCACTAATGGGTTTCACCACTTTGACCCAACTACCACTCCTTTCTTCCCCTCTACTTCAACATTAAAGCCCAAGCCCGACCCCTTTGATCTTTTACTTCCTTATTTGAAACCCACAACCCTGCCCTAATTCCTTTTCTTCACAGTATTCAGTCCTTGTCCTCTCTTTTCCATCTATTCTCATATTCTCTTTGTTCTCACAAGTCTCCTTGGACAAGGTGTCTGTCTCCTTCCCTTGTACTACTATCTCAAATCCTATGTTTTATCCCCTTTGTACCGTCTCCTTACCTTTCCCTTTTTCATGCAACGTGACTTCCTCTACTTCCAAGATCCCCTGCTGTAGCCATCCTACATCTGATGGCATGAAGCTGTCCACATCAGCAATTGACTTTAATTTGAAATCTTTTGTCCTTTCTGATTTTTCAATTTCAAGAAAAGACTTAGATTCATGAGCCATCTCCACCGTCTCGACCTTAACCCCTCCACCGCCTTCACCACTCACCACGGTGGCAGATAGCTCTTCTTCAACCCCTTGCCTAACTTCTTTACCCTGGTTGTAAATTTCCAGATTGCAGCTTGTTTCCTCCCCAACAATACTCGCACTGATCATATATGTTTTCCCTGCTGCTTTTATGGTGATTCTAGTTGGTATCTCAGCCCTGCTCTTTACTTTCACTAGTAGAAAGCCTTAGTCAAATCTTTCTCTTCTAAACGTACCCATATCGACTCCCATTAACTTCCCCCAGCGTTTTCCTATTGCTTTGAATATGTTGATGAGCCATAAGTGCACTGGTATGTCATACAAACCAACCCACAATCTAACATCCCCATCATACTTTGCAATGTCTATTGGGATTAGAGAATCGAACCACACTTCAAATATTTCCCGGTAGTTTTCTAACAAAGTATTCATCTCTTCCCTTCCTTCAAAGGTGACAAGCGGAGACAATCCCTCAATGACCCTAACTTGTACTTGGATCCCTTCGTTTAGCAGCTTGGACTGAACAACTCCACATTCGATTCTCTTTTTCAGTCTTCCAATGGCACTATTTTGGATCCAGCGCATATCCTCTTCTGGAATATCACTATTGATTGTTGTTCTTGATGATCCCTCCTGTGCATATGATCCTATATTCTTTTCCCCAACCCTCCTCTGTATCATGCTCTCATCTTTATTTCCCCACTCGTTTTTCTCAATCAAATCCACTTTCTCTTTTGTGGGTTTTACCTTCCATTCCTCCATAGTCTCCTCTTCTCGACCCCCTTGAACTACTTCTTTAAAGGACCTACCACCCACTCCCTTTGTACCTGTTTCCCACACTATTTTCTTGATCGGTTCTACTCTAGTTTCCACCTTCTCTCTGTGCACTGGTTCTGCTTTTTGGACAACTACTCGTTTTCCTTCGATCCATTGATGTCCACCCCATCTAAGAGCCTTCTCCATCTCGTGTTCTCTTGTCCAATACTTAATATATTTTCCCCTTGTCTATGAGAATTCTGAACTTTGAAGAATAATTTTCTAGGAACCGAGTCAAAGGAAAAGATTAAACAGCTAATTTCACCCATAATAAATGAGTTCCCACAGTGTACACAGAGAAGGGTATCGTCAACAGCATAAACATGCACAACTTTGCATATGCCTTATTCAGGAAGTGTACACTAAATAGGACTTTCTCTAAAACAATTAGAGCCCGATCGCATTTTGGTTGCACCACTTCAAAATGTGCTATGGAATTGTGATGCAAGACAGCTTGGAGGGCTAGGGTTTATGATGATGATGATGATGATGATGATAATAACAATCTGAAAATTCTTGAGAAAACATAGAAACAAAACTAAAAAAAGGGAATTAAGAAGGTCGTTGATTGTGTCACATAACCAAGAAGAAAGGAAACCTAAGCATCAAATCTGGGGTTCCTCAAAAGTAAGACCTAAGTTTGATTGCATCACATAATCACAATAGTGAAAAATCTCTTACAATAATCTGTCACCAAAAGAAGACATTGATAATTATATATTAGCTACTACCAAACCTAATCCCAAAAGACCTAGACCTCCTATTCCAAGCAGGGCTTTAAAGAAAATACTTTAGATTCCAATAACTAACAAACTTGACGCTAAAAAACAAATGCTAATAGGATAAGGAAAAATTAACTAAGATACGAAACCCTAATAATATAAATGTAATATATCAAATATAATTATAGATCTATAAAATATCACAATTAAGCCCCATAAATACAACAAAGTAACAAAATAAACTCTTAAATAAGCTAATCCTTCAATTAGCTTCTCTGCATTCTTCATCAAATTCTTCTAAAACATCCAACCAATCAAATGACTTACCTCTGTTGCATTCTTATTATGGAACTAAGATACTAATATGCCTATATACATCTTCGAGCAGCATCTCAAACACCAAACGTCATGACAGAAATGAACTCCAGTCCCACCTCCAACCTCAGAAAAGTCCGACTGACTTATGATATTCTTGCACAAACTCCAATTGAGACTCAACCTTCTGAGAAGTCCACTCGAAAGTGGCATCCACAAGACATATAAAATATACTAAAGTTTAACGTTGCATAAAACCATCTATTACTCATGCCAGAAATTCAATTTAGAGTAAGGCCAAGGACATCAGTTTTGAGAGCTTTATTTGCTTAAAACCAGTAACTCCCACATTGATTGAATCAAGTCCTCATTGAAACTAATTATAGTTAGCTACATGAATCTTTCTCCACCACTTTGCATGAATACATGTTCTCAACAAGATAAATAGAACAATGTTGCATGGACTCAAATATGATCTCTACCATAGACATGTGTCAAGATACCCTACTTACATTTTATTCAGCTTTAGACTGGCAGTGTATGACACAAGATTCCAAAAGTAGGATATCTGTTGTGTAGTCTATGTTTCTTATGATAATTTCATGAAACGTCTATAAATAAGATATCTTGTTTAAATTAGGATTTTCTTATGGAACTTCCCTTAAAAATACTCATTTTTAACTTGCATTAATTTTAAGATTGTCTTAAAAAGCTAAAGCCCATAAACTGAAGGTGGAATGCATATAACCACCAGCAGGCAAAAGATTCAATGTGTCTGAGACAGAATCCTTTTCGAAGCCCAATTTTGAAGGGAAAATGAACAAAATTTGGACTAGGAGTCAATTCCTAATTCAAGCCCAATTTGGAAGAATAAGCTAGCTGGCATACAAATGTGCATAAAACCCATTTTCTCTTCTCCTTCAACAAGCCACACTGCATAAACTCCTTCCCACTTGCCAGATATAAGACCTGCCTCTCTCCTCTTTACCTTTCCAGTTACCATTTAATGATATTTCACAAAAGCTCAGATTTCCCACTGCCTTCTCAAACCAAGTGCATATCTGACAAAGCAAGAAAGCCCAACTCTCATTAACAATGGAGTGTCATAGCTTCCACGGTGCAATCAATCGAAATTAATCCAGAAATTTCCCTCTACCTTTCCTATCTCCACCTCTTGATTCAATCACCTTGGTGTGAAGAAGCCAAGTCCAATGTCCAGAATATTCCCCCTTTCCCCACCCACCCCAACTGTGTCATGTCCACTGACACAGGTCTGGCACCCTAAAACAGCAAGTCCATGTTATGTAGCATAGAAATCAGATGCTTCACTACTGATTCTATATATTAGTTTTTTCAATCCACTTTTAAGCCTTTTCTTGCCTCTATTCTAATTTACCTATTTTCCACAACGACAAATGATCAACCTGTCATAAATGAATTCATTTCCTGCTACTCCTTTAATTCTGTCTAAATCATGCTTATTTACAGAGCTGGTCCAGCCTCAGAGAAATGAGGATGATTTTAGTTGGTCAACAGCCACTATAAAAGGATAATTAAACTCTACAAGTATTAAGAAAGGAAGTAATCTCAGAGAAAGAAAGGGGTGCAAGACTAAGAAAAAATTACCAGAATATGTCCACTTGATATTTGCCAATGAAAGCAGATATTCTGCTGATGTTAGCACAAACTCATTTTCAAGCTTTTCAATATCAACATAAAATTGCAGCCTCTGCGCTTGTACATCATTACCAGCTGCAGCAGCAAAAAGGAACATATTAAACAAGTCCATGCACAATATCAAAAATTATTTGACTACTTTGAACAAATGAACAGATAGAATGAAGAACCAAATTGGTAAGTTATTCCTATAATGCTAAGATAAACATATGCTAGATATGAAGACAACAAAAATGAGAACATCACAGAATAATAAAACTCTTTGTTGATGCAATAATTACACTGTTCTTTGACTGTCTTTTTAGCCTTTTTACTAGGATAATGATCGTTCCGAAGAGGACGTCCCTCAGGAAGGGAATCAATCCACGCATAAGCAGGATGGACAAGATGCAGGGCATTGACAGCAGCAGAGAGTGCATTCAGCCTCTCCTGCAGTGTAACTGACATGTGCTGCTGATCTTTCAGAATTGACTCAGTTCGTAAACGAGCAGAATATAGATATATGTAACTTGCTGCCCTTCGCCAATTATGTCGGTGCATTTCAAATGCATAAAGCAATTTGTATGGATTTGGCTTTGCCAAGATATCTGTACGCTCCGCCTACAAATTATCGCACACAGGTTGCCTAAGAGATTAATGCGCAAGAAAGAAAATAAAATCAATAATGGAAGCCAATGAAGTTAAATCTCCGAGCAATTATCAGATACCTTCCATGCAAGTTCTCGCTCAATCTTATCAGCTAAACCAATGAAGGGCAATTGACCATTGCAGAGAATCTACATTGCAGAGAAAGGAGGAAAGAGTTGTTGATAAGTAACTTGTCAAGTGATTTGTTATCCACAGGCACGCAAAATAAATTGGCCTCTTATGAATAATACAGCAAATACTGCAAAAATGGTATGGCTAATGAAGATGACAATTTGTGACACAGCAAGCAAAAATGGTATAATAAATGAAATAGCAAAAGAGAAAACTTGCAATTCCCTACAAAAATTTACATCCTTTAAGGCTGATAACTATCATGAAAACCTTTCCTGATTTTTGTTAATGCAAGGCCAGGATTTTCAAACAAATTGAAATATCAACTCTTTCTTTCCTGAATTCTTTTAGGCTTTTTGTTCTTAGGATGTTGTCAAAAAGGCATTGAAACTAGCCATCAAGCATAGTGCAATACTTGAGCTTGGAACTAGCCATGTACAGACTATGACAAAATATGCATGATGCAGAGCTCTGAGACAGAATAGTTGGAACAAAGAAAACAGCAAAATGTGTAAGAGAACCTTTATTGCTCCACGTTCATAAAGAACAATTATAAAGCGCCTTAAGCAGATGTACTTGCTCTCCTCGTCTGGATTTGAAAGTATTGCACAGTATGCATCATTCAGGAGATTAAGATCTAAAGTGAACTTGAAAAGATTTGCCCAAAGACGTCCTTTGATGGTAGTTGCTGATTCATTAGATGGATCTCTCTCATAGCCATCAACTCTAAGGTTAAGAGCATCGACTTGCTCCAGTGCAGCAAGTGCAAATTGGCAAGCACCTTCACTAATGTTATACTGCTCAAATAACTGCATCACCCATTGATAATAATGAAGCTTCCATGCAGCAGATACATGACCATCTGGACCAGAAAAATTAAAATCATCTATTTGCTGAAAAAATTAAATTGTCCTATTTTCTTTGGAAACAACAACATTCTTAGAATAAACTCACTAAAACCAAGATACAGCAACCCTGATTCCTGAGATAAACTCTGCAAGGCCTGTGAAGCTCCTTCTCCTGATGCAGTTCTGCATAAAACAAAGCACCAACAACTCAACTGAGGCGTAAATAAAGTAACTGAATGATAATATACAAGAAAAATCCAGTACAACACCTGATGTGGATACTCAAATATAATCCAAACCAGATTTAGAGAAAAAGTATTATAGATTTATAAATTAATATTCTAGAATTTCAATTATTTATCTATATTTTTAAAACATATTTAAAGAAAAGTATTGAAGGACTGAAAAATTAAATAATGTTTGTATATGTATGTAGATTAATTAGAAACATATTTAAAGAAAGTAGTATGGAAGATTAAAATATGAAACAGCATTAAGAGGAAGGAAACGGTTGAAAATCAACAGGATGAAGTAGCAAAAAAAAAAATGGAGATTAGGATGTAGCTGAATTATTAACTACCTGAAGAAACAGCTAACAGCTTCACAGACTTTCCTCTCTTTCAGGATTCCATGTAACCCACGCTGTGTTTGAGCAAGACGACAGCATCCAAGTATATGTTGAAGCAAGCACCAATCA